TTCAGGGTTTGGGTTTAGGGGTTTAGGGGTTCAGGGTTCAGGGTTCAGGGTTTAGGGTTTAGGGGTTTAGGGGTTTAGGGTTTTAGGGGTTCAGGGTTCAGGGTTTAGTGTTTGGGGTTTAGAGGTTTAGGGGTTCAGGGTTTAGGGGTTTAGGGGTTTAGGGTTCAGGGTTCAGGTTTGAGGGTTTAGGGTTTATGGGGTTTCGGGTTTGACCAGGGTTTCGCAGTTGCTTTGTAGGTTTTGTTGTTGCGTTCCCACAGGGTTTTATTAAGTTTGTTTTGTAGGTTGTTAGGGGTTTAGAGGATCATGCGATGTGGTTCATATGGTAGGGGTTTTCTCGGTTCTATTTCTAAGTTTCCTCAATGGTTTTGTCGGGTTCGTCAGAGGGTTATCAAAAGTTTTCGAAGGAACGTCCTTCAGTTCAGGGGAACAACGTTGAGTTTCTAGGTTCTAGAGGAGGCCCTAAACCCTAAACCCTAAACCCCCAAAGCCCTAAACTGGGGCTTAGTTTTGTTTTCAGTGGTTGGCTTATAGCTGCAGGTTTGTTTCGTTGAGATCCGGGCTGACCCCTGAACCCTAAACCCTAAACCCAAAGCCCTAGCCCCTAAACCCTAAACCCTAAAACCCTAAACCCTAAACCCCAAACCCTAAACCCCTAAACCCTTAAACTTTAAACCCTAAACCCTAAAACCCTAACCCCTAAACCCTGAACCCTAAACCCTAAACCCCTAAACCCTGCTACAAAGCATGACAGAGGGCCCCAATCGACGACCTCAACCTCGACCCCCGGAAGCACCGAATCCTGGGGTTTTCGCAGTTGTTTGGGAGGCTTTAAGATTTCTTTTATAAGAGCGCTTTCAGGTTCCTCTTGGAGCTCTATAAGGGCACTTTGGGGTTATGGTTTAGGGTTTAGGGTTTAGGGGTTTAGGGTTTAGGGTTTGGGGTTTAGGGTTTTAGGGCTTACAGTTTAGGGTTAAGGGTAAAGGGTGTAGGCCCTCAGCAAGCCCTCAACCCCATTGAAAGCCTAAGCCCGAAACCGAGGAGCCGAAAGCCCCAAGCTTACGGCGCCCCATGCAATACCCATAAACCCCAAACCCCTCAACGCATAAACCCCTAAAGAACAAACCCCTAAATTCCAAGCCTTCAACTATGAACGAGGCCCTGAAGAGCTACACCAACTTGGAAATGGACACTTGGCAGAGAAGTGTGTAAGGAGTTTCAGAAGGGTTCTTAAGGTTTCCTAGCAGCATTTGAGGCTTCGGGTATTTTGAAAGGATCCGGGGACTTGGTAAGAGGGGTTATCAGTAAGGTAGCTAGAGATCAAAATTACTGTAGCACCAATGAAGGCATCCTCCAGTCAAGCTATTCGAAGCTTTTTCGGAAGTTGGCCTTCGAACTGTTATGGTCTAAGCACGCTGGCGTTTTGCAATGATTTTGGAGTGCTATTACGGGGTTTTATGGTGTTAAGATGCGTTAAGGGTCTTATAGAAGGGTTTTATAGGGCTTGATATGGGTTCTAAAATGTGCTTACTCGGGTTCTTGGAGAGTTCATTTAAGGCCCTATTAGGGTTCTCTTGGGATTTGTGGGCTTTTGGGGCTTCCGGGGTTTGGGTGTTCAGGCTCTGTATGGAGGGGGCTTTGGTTTGACTTGAGGAGAAGTAGCCCGATGGAGTTTGGGCTAGTGTGCCAGGCTATGGGGATGGTGGCTGCAACTGAAAATCTTGATGGTGATTCCGGAGCATCAAGTCCGAATATCTCTACATTTAGGAATCTAAAACTCAAGAGATTTTTGGGGGCATAGCGTCAAGATGTTTCGGGGAATAGCGCCTAGAATTCAATCCCAAAAGCACACGACCAAACTGTCCTTCCCCTCAACACAGAGCCGCCAATGAATTTACCCCTCAGGTCAGGGATATCCCAAAAACTTTTTACAATATTTGACAAGGCATTGCCCTCAACCTTCAACCCTAAACCCTAAACTCTAGACCCTAAAACCCTGAACCCTAAACCCGGTTTTCTGGTTTCTCCCAAAAACCCCCCACAAACTGCCACACGCAGACCATGCCAAGGTCATCGTGCGCGACACGCCCCTGGGCTGTGAAGGAGCCGTCGCCGTCTTGCAGACCGGCGCGCGGCACATCTTCTTGGATGCCTGCGACCTGGGCGACGACGAGGTGGCGTCAGAGAGATGAGTTTCTTTAGCGCTTTGTCTTGGGTTTATAAGGATTCTACGGTGGTTTGCTACGGCTAAAATTTTTCTGAGAAGGATATTTCTGCTATTTTGGGTTATCTTCTAGGGGCCTTGGGATACTTCAGACCTCCTCTGTTTCATAGGGGGCTCACGAAGGAAAGGTGTGAAGGTGCTATAGGTTTTTTGCAGCGAAACCTGGGTTTTAAACCCTAATCCCTGAACCCTAAAACCTCAATGCCCTAAACCCTAATCCCTGAACCCTAAAGCCTCTAAACCCTAAACCCTAAGCCCTAAACCCTAAGCCCTAAACCCTAAACCCTAAAATCCGAAAAGCCCTGAGCCGCAGTAAATTCCAACGCCACCCCCCCCCCTTGGCCCAAGAACGAGGCCCCAAAGCCCCCCTCCCCACCCAGCAAAACAGCGACACCCAAAGCCCAAACCCTAAACACACCCAAAGCCCAAACCCCAAAAACCCTACAAACCCTAAAAACCCTACAAACCCTAAAAACCCTACAAACCCTAAAAGCCCTAAACCCTAAGAACCCTAAACCCCAACGCCCTCCCTCGCAGGCTTGCGCCATTGCCGACGTCCTTCGGCAGCTGCCCAGCGTGGAGAACCTCACACTGCGCAACACGCAGATCACACGCGAGGGCTTCAAGGATCCTGGTCATATCGGGGGCTTAGGGGGTTTAGGGTTTAGGGGTTTAGGGGTTTAATTAGGGGTTTAGGGTTTAGGGTTTAGGGGTTTAGGGTTTAGGGTTTTGGGGTTCCCTTTAAGCTCAGGGCTTGGGGTCTTTAGATTGGGATTGGAGGTTTACAGCGAGTTTATTGAATC